ACATACGTATGAAATTCTACGTTGTTATTGATTGGTTGGATCAACAAGGTCAGTGCCAATACACAGCTCCTTTTAATTGCTAATTTCTAACAAATTTGAGCTTACTAACGTATTCCACTAAGCAGACGCTTTGTCAGTGGATATTAACAACGCCTCCCAAATCCCTTATGAATATCACCGTTGAATTCTGTTGCGTACCTATCTTTCTCGTGATCGTTTGCCATAAAATCTGGTTGCGGCGAATAATTCATGTCGGTGAAATGGCGTGAATTCACTGTCAGCAAAAAGCTAATGTTACAAAACTTACTGAGCAACTTAATACAGTAAATGTGGTAGCATTTGTAACTCTCTGATCTTATCTGTAAACCGGAATGCCTCATTTAACATACTGTTATTGGTTAATTAGTATTGTTGTCAATATGTCTCTGATAAATCCAATGAACTTAGTAAGTCTAATCAATTCTAGGACCTGAATTTTCTTATTTTTACTTTCTGTATCTTTCATTTCAACATTAACATAATTGCTAACAATTTAGTTCTTCTAAATTTCAAATATTCATACGAATAATTGCATATTCGTTATCCTGCTAGTGACTTATCTACATAAGCATACACATATGTAGGTGTACAGTTTGTGCTCTAAATTAGAAAAGTATCTGCTGAGTCATTGTTCGGCTTTAAACAAGAATATTTACTGTTCTGCTCCTCGCCTCGGAGAAATATTTCCTTGGTGAATCAATTCATAAAACGGGGAAAAACTGTAATGAGGAATTCGGAAGATTAGAATTTGAGAGAAGATGAAGAATGGATTTTGAGTCAAGATTTATAAATGAATGCTTTTAGCAGAACAATTGTCGCAAGATGATGATGAATAACGCGGATTGACAAATCACCTTTTGCAATTAATTAACTCTTTAGTTGTGTTACAAAGTTAGATTTGTCTCTTGGGCTCAAAAACCAAATAAAATTGATAAAGAGCAAAAGAAGTGTTGAACGAAAACGAAACGCCATGTTCAGAGAAAAGTAACTTTATAACTTCTTTTGAGCCTCGAAAGTTTTCACGTCAGTCTATACCATACTTGAACTGCACTGAAAGAACTAGAAGTGAGAGAAAACAAATCAAAAGGCTTACAGAAGCTTTTTAAAACAATTAGTCCCTTTTATAAATTTTGATAGAACAGTGAGAAGACGTAATTGATCTGAAAAATGTGATGTATTTGCGCTATACATTTCGAACAATCTGGTCACACATATTTACTTGTCAAGGCATTTTATATGAAGATGACTAAAAGGTCAATTATTCATCTTCATATAAAATGCCTTGACAAGTAAATATGTGTGACCAGATTGTTCGAAATGTATAGCGCAAATACATCACATATTTCGGATCAATTACGTCTTCTCACTGTTACACAAACTCGTTTGAAAGTTATTGGATATTGAATTGCGGGCTTCACAAATTACTCTACCCTCAAGGCCACCTGTGGGGATAATATAGGCCGTATTTTGTTGGCTATTTACCTGTTAGAAACTCTACTACAGAAGTACAATTTATTAATTGCTTGTCTTTTTGATGTTGTTAGTGTTATGCATGTCTTTTTTAGTCACTACTAGTATGATTTATTGGTATCCATTTCCATTTTGTATTCAGTTAAAGATTTTTAGCATGATTATAGTAAGCTTCTTACATTTCACCATCAAATATGTGTACCCGTTAGGCCGTGTTTTTATTAGGGTTAATCAGTAATAAGCTGTGGTTTTGTCACCGTTAGCTCATTTTTGACTGGCTAAAGTAAGCCTCACAATGGATTATGTTATCAGCCGACTGGTTGTGGTCGTTAATTGTTGCATTGACGAACGGTTAAGTAGCTTCATCATCACATAAAACTTTGGGATGTCCTATCAATCGGAGCTAGATAGATAATACTGAAGAGTTATTGCCTTTTGTCTGTGTTGGCAATAAATTGCCAAGGGACAGTATTTTAACCAGTTTAGATGGTGAACACATTTAATAACTTGGACTCAGGTCATAGATTTCGGTGTCGTGGTCTATGATATGGATACAGAGTTTTTATTCTCTGGTATTAGGATTTAATACTAAAAATAAATAGGGAATAACTGGAAAATGAAGGCAGCACTGAAGATTTATATTTACAATTATGGTTGCGAATTAAAGTTTAAGGTTATAATTGAAGGTTAATTTCTACGGCTAGTGCACCACACTTCAAAACATAACTATTTTAAATCGTAAACTTGAACTCTAACCCTAAGTTCAGAACTTGGTACTATTCTACATCCTAATAGTGAACTAAATTGTTGACTTTCTGTCTTAACGCTAAGGGTTGATACTAAATCCTAATTCCATGCCGTAAATCCTGTTTTACATCAATGTACCTCGTTCACTAGCGTGCACTGTCTTTCTTTAACTGACTAGGCGGGTTGCAGACGTGTTACTTAAAAAAATTTCTCAAGTGTTTTTTAAAGTTTTTTTGTAGCATTTGGATTAATGCCTAGTGACTAAAGTGCAATTGTTTTCTGCTCAATAGTACCCTGCGGCTTTGAAACACGATCTATCATGGTAAATGACATGCATCGGTATAAAAGATGTTTGAGTAAAGTTTGAGTCAACCAAACTAAAACATGACATTACCTCATAAAGTGGTTGACTGTTAGTCTAAGCTATACTGTTGAAACCAGATTACGTAGCTATGTCCACGCGTTCAATAGTTGAAAAATCTGGATTACATGGCTTGAAATCATTCGAAACGATACATGTACATTCACCCCTTTCCTTATTATAGATGTTGGATTGAAGTTTTCATCTGTACTTACTGTTTAACTCCTCAAACTATGTTCCTGGTGTTTATTCTTTTTAACTGTTGTCGTTACAATATTGTTGCTACTTGTGTTATATTTGACTCATTTTTGTTATTCTTTAAATTAATTTCGTCTCATCAAGTTGATTTGGTTTAGTAACGAAGTAACACATATTACCACATGTTCTACGTTCATTACGACTTGAAATTTTGAGATTTTAATTCATTGTTATTTTCTGTTAGTTTGAAAGTTTTACAATTATTGTCTGTGCAACTTCATTATCAATTTCAATATATTCTTTCTTTTTGCTCTTTTTTTTTAAAAAATTACAAATCTTACAGTCATGTTTTGGTCATCGATTGCTTCCTATTCTCGGATCAATGATCTTTTATCACGACCAGTATGTATCACATTCATTGCCTCTCTTACTTAATCCTATAGAATCTCACAATTCAAGAACTTTTAGATGACGATGATGTTTTACAAAAATGTCGTGAAAAAGATCCACGTTTAGTGAATTTGTAAGTTTCGTTGTTTTTTGTCGATTCGAAATTACTCATAATTTCTCTTTTCTTTAGTTTATCAAGATCAGATAATTTAGATCATCTCATAGATTTAGTTAGTCGGACACCTTTATCTGATGGTTTCGATCTAAATTTGTATAGGTGAGTTCAGTTTTTGAAATATGTACTTATTGTTGGTTTTTTAATGCTGATTACCAATGATAGTAATCGATGGTTCGAGACCTTGAATGACATGGCTCAAAATCGTTTGCGATGGTGCAGGTGCATCTATCCTTTGTGTTCTCTCAAATCCTAATCTTAGGAATTCCTCATCACATTTATCCTTTTTTTTATAAGTTTAGTTCACCAGATTCTACTTCATGAATAATATCCTCGAACCCTAATCCTCCGATTACTGCTAATATTTCTACTTCTTATACTTCTATGGAATTTGAATTGATATCACTGTGCTAATGTGGTGTCGCAACTTAAACCTATGTACGTACGTTGTACGTTGTAACTGACCGACTGAAGGGTGATTACTTCGCCGTTTTGACGTGGCATGCAACTCATCACCAGTGCGTATCCATGATTCTTGCAACCCACAGGATTCAAACCCTCGGTCTTAAGCGCAAATGCCTGACCTCTAGACCACAAAGCCTGTATCCAACTGCGGTAATGTCTAACTCTGACCAATCTGAGAATTTTGTGCTACCTTACTCATTATCTTCGGTAGTTATTGCCTACACGCGACAGGGTCAAACTCCATTGGTCACGTCTTAAGCATTTTCGAAAAAAAATGTAGAAAACTTACAATCTGATTTCTTTAGTCATGTTCATGTATATATTTTTATTAAGAATGTAACGGCGCAATGATATCCTAATAAGTATACACATTGTTCTGACTAAATAAATCTATTTGTTAGCTTTGTAAATATTCACTGTCATTTGTGTAAATGTGATTTGAATTATTATGCGTTCAACTCATAACCAATTGTTAATAAACTCAATGTGTATTGGTTCCTTCTGAGTAGAGGTCTGTGAGGTAAACAGTACTGCGTTTATTACTATCAAGCAAGTATGGATTTTATTGATAAACACATATATGGGTTTTGTATCCTTATGTTTTGGGCATATAGAGTTCAATAAACCAGTTTCTCTTCGGAAATGGATATCATCCTATATTTTAGGTCTGAGAATTGATTATATTCTGACTATAGGCTATCAGTGGGATCTATCTCATCTTATTCGAGACTTCACAACTGAATTATACTTCTCGAATCATATCTTCGTGCCCTAATCTTCTCCATTGCCATCGCTACCACTATGTGATTTGAACCGACAGTTGCATCTCTGTGCAGATGCGGTATGGCAACTTGAACTGATGTATGTACGTACGAAGTTCTGTGTCGTGACTGACTGACTAGTAGCTGATTATAACGTCTTTAAAAAAGTAGTCATAAACATTGTACTGACTAAACAAGTTAGAGATTCTTGTGACCCCATGTAGCTAACTGAAAATTTGAATGACGAGTATAAAGTTTATTTCTTAATGTTAATGATTAGTTTGTACTTTACGTATTTAAGCAATTGTTGCTACCTTGTTGCTCAAACCTGCTAATACAAATACTATGGTACGAAAAAATTCAGTTGGTAGATCGTAAACAGAATGAAATACGTGTCTTAATTTATACTATTCAATTGTACTCTGTCTAAACATGATATCGACTGAGTCAATTAGGATATAATGACTAAAATGTAGGGAAGTAAAATCTTTCTGCCTAATTCAAAAGTAATCATATTCATGAGCTAACGTCAAATATTAGAATCTTGAGCTTCTGGTTTGTGCTAGTAGAAAACTTCACAAATACAATCTTTAACTACTGCGGTGACCCGAACTTAGCTGCTACCTTGATATGGTGGCTGGGTTTGTCAACCGAGGTATATTGGCTGGAACACATTCTTTTAGGTCCTACCATACCACGCTGGTCTCTTAGAGAACTGTAAGAACTGTAAGCAGCAACTTAAGGTCTGAGGTTGAAGTCATACTTCTAACCGTAGGAGGATGTGACAGCAGTAAGGTGTTTCTCTCCCAATGGCCTCCCTACTGTTGATGTAGCATTGAGTTCAAAAGCAGAAGTAACTCCTTTATTTCGTATTCCAGTAGATAGTCGCCTGTACGCTATCCGATTAAACAGGAAGTTAATAAGTTGCAAAGATATGGACACTCACCGTTGCCTCCTCGTTGTCTCTGCTCACTCTCCCACTGATTGCAGCTCAGATGAAGTAAAAGATGAATTTTACGGAAAATATTTCAACCGTTTTGAAAAAAGCTAAGCAATCTGATATAATAGTGGCTGCTTATTCTAATGCTAAAGTAAGGTAGACCTAACGAAACTGAGACACATTTTGACATGGTGACACCCAAAGTCGACTCAACGCTGGACCCAACCAAACCACATCTCTGTCAGCCACCGAAGAAGAGGCCGGTTTCAAAACTGCCTTTCCATATATAAATGTAGCTAAAAGTACGTTTCGAGTGCAGCTAGTAAATGGGTTAGATAACCATGTATGTAATGCTGTAGAAACATCAGTGATATCTGTCAGTAACTTGAATTAAAAGGTTAGGAAAAACCAGTGAATTTCTGTAGCATCTACTAACCTGACAGGCGATGTGCGAAAACTCAACACGATGAGGAATGGATGCATGCTAGTGAGAAGCCTACGCAATGATCGCGAACAGTGGTGGGTAACAAAAGCCAAAGAGATAGAAAGGCAGCGGTGATAAGGAACAATAGACAATTATTTAGACTTAATAAATCAACCAGTATTAGAAATCTGACTGTCAGCAAGATCATCTCAGAAGAGGACAGGGTTAGTCACTCAGCAGCCAGGAGATTGGATCGATGTCTTTAACAATTTAGGGAACAGTTCAACTGGTCTTCAACTACACCCCATCTCCAGTCAACCTGATTGGCAAATTGATGAAAAGTACTCTATTTCTCAGTGAGGTTGAAAAGGCGATTAGACATCTAAAGAGCGAGAAAACCATAGGCTCTGAAAGAATGAACCCTGAGAAATTTTTAAGTTTAATGGTCACGTTTTATCAGTCAAATGGACTGTGATCATAGGTAGAATCAAGGAAATGGACGTAATCCCATTTGACTAGCTTCAATCTTTGTTTGTCTAAACTCATAAAAAATGACTAGTTCTGTTGTGACTAATATTCTATCAAAGGTGTCGTAGAAGCATTGCTAATATATCCTGGGACCATTGAATAAGCATGACTGGTTTTAGGAACGGGTACTAGGTAACAATGGCAAATCAATTGATAAAGTAATAATTATTCAATAGGTCAGGTGGTTGGTACATATTTTACGTATAAGTAACCAGAGGCTGCTCCGGCGAGCGATGTTGTTTAATGTAATAATAGGCTGGAGGAACGCTAGGGGTGGCCCAACCAAAATGCGGCACAAATCCATGAAGTCTCTGACAACTGGACAGCCATTTTAGTAGGTGTAGACTGTGTGGTTGAGGCCTGCGTATCAATCGTAACTGGCGATTAGAAACTTTGTATGACATGGCTGGAAATCGTTTGAGATGGCGTGAGTGCATCCATTCTTTGTCCTCTCTGGAATTCTAATTTTCTAAGCTTAGTAGGTTCATAGTTTGTGTTTATATATGTTGTAAAAAGTATTAGATTATTTCCCACTTGCCGATTGCCTACACTGACGTAGGGCTTTTTTCGATGAATCTGAAAAACCAACTAGATGAGTAGTTTTCTTACCTAAATGACAGTGTGACCGTGAAACCTAAGAGATAACTGATTGAGCTGGTTACGTACGGCTTAGTTTCTTCAGAATGCTGTACCATCGAAGACAAAAACGTCATGAGATAAAATCAAGTGTGACATTTCTAGCTACGATCTATTTTTTAACCTTTTCTTTCCGTATATGAGTAGACAGCATCGCTATAGATGCTAGTTATCTGAGAGTAACATCTTACTGTTGTATCAAAATCCTTTACAATCAATAGTGTACATCATCGGATCTTAGGTTGTTGCTTTGAGCTTTATGATTCTTTACCTAATCCTACCTGGGGTAGATGGAGTATTGAAACTTCATCAGTTGAGGTAGCTGTAACATATGCTACGTATGCCTGCCAACCGACTGCCTCGACGAGCCTTGTTTTGTGGTGTGGGGGAGTAGGTTAGAAGAATGTTAGGGGCAACCAAAGCAAAATATGGCACAACTCCTTGAAGTCACTGACAAATGGACTGACTCATGTTGGTAGATGTTGACTACCTGGTTGGGGTCCACGAGTCCTAAGTCACCCGTGGTTAGAAACCTTGAACGACATGGCCCAAAATCGTTTGCAATTACGCAGACGCATCCATTGTTTGTTGTTCTCTCAAATTCTAACCTTTTGTATTCTTTCTCATCATCTCTTTGTTTCTCTTTCTAAAATTATCTCACTAGATTCTACTTCTTGAATACTATCTTCGAACCTTAATGTTTCTTCATTACCGTTAATACTTCTACTATCTCTGCCACTATTGTTGGATTTGAACTGATGTACGTACGCACGAAGTTCTATGTTGTTGTTGTAGTTGACTGACTGACTGATTCTTTATTTGATCTTACCTGGTATAGCAGTACATTAGAATATAAAACGTTGTCTAGCTAATACAGCCTTAATGAAACATTTCATTCGACTGTTTTACTTTTGTTTTTATGTTTAGACATTCAAGTGTAGCATGTGAAATTTTAACCAATGATATCAATGAAATATTAGATGGTCTAGTTGAATTAACTCCAACAATAGTGGATTCATCTTATCATACATCACAAAATGAATTACATCATAACAATAATAATGATAATAATAATTCAGTGAAATTCAATGGCACGACAGCATCTTGCTCCTCCTCCTCCTCACCATCATCAATGAATGTTACTGCTGTTAGTTTAACCGAAATAAATACTGATGATAATAATAATTATCATTCTCAAAATTGTAGCAATATGCTTATAGTTGAGAATAATTCTAACATTGTAAATAATCATTCATCAGAATTATGCCAAATCAATGCCAATCATCATCATCATCATGTTGATGAGCATGGGAATGATGATGATGATGATGATGCCAGTCATCATTCTCCGACTAATCATCGATTAAACGATTATAATGATGAGGATAATCATCATCATTTCAATGAGATCACTTCATCGAGTTTAAAACTGTTCTCACCAATATCATTGTCTACACCACAATCATCTTCTAGCCTAAACAGTAAGAATGATGCTGGTGAAGTGAATTCATTGTCAACATCGTCAACAACACCGACCACACGTCGACGTTTGGATATGTTGATAGACTTTTTTCATCATTCAAATCAACCAGTGAATCCATTATTGGCTTGTTTTGTTTCACGTTTGTTAATACATTTGACATTACATCGTGGTAGTGTTGTAAGTTTTTTAATGACTATTTATTTTTTTGTTGTTGTGTTTGTGATTATTGGTAATATAACAAGGGATACCTAGATAATATTTATGCCCCGATAGTAGCTGCCACCTGGACGTAGTGGTCGGGTTTGCCTAAATTGCTACATTGGCCGGAACTCTCATGTTCCTATGGTCCTAACATGCTGGGCAGGTCGATTGAAGAACAGTGAAACTAAAAGCAGCTACTCAAGGTGTAAGGGCGAAATCGTACTGCTGACTGACTGTAGAAGGGTATGACAGCAGTAAGGTTTTTCTCCACGGAAAACCAACATCTAAAGCCGATGTTACCTTTTCACAAGGAAGTAAAGGGTTTAGAAACGGTCGACCTGAAACATGTTACACCTCATCCTACCTTACGGATTTCCATCTCCGGCGCTAATGGTTTTTAAACAAGAGTGGAGTTAATACTGTAGACCGTGCGTAACTAGCCTCAAGCAGGTGTCAATCATCAGCTCATGACAAAAGGAATATAAATATGCAATAATCTAGTTATTTGACAATAGTCCTACGAATCATCCGTTGAACATATCAACCTGGTAACCTTGTTAAAGCCCCAGCTTCATATTCACTCTTCACGACCGAATCTGGAATTGCTGCACGACTGTTTCACCGTAGTATGAGACTCATTAGTAGTGCTCATCCACGACCCCTGTTCGTAAGAATTGAAACATTCAATCGCGAACGAGAACATTTTACCTGTAGACCATACTTAGTCGGTATCCATCGGTGTTGATATCTAACATCAATTAATCCACGGTATTGTGCGAGCTCACCCATTGTCTTCAGTAGGTCACTACCTACAACTGATAGGGTTGCACCTTACTAGTGATGACTTCACACTAAAACTCGAAGAAAGTTCTTCATGAAACTAGGCCACTAGTAAGCATATGATCATTTTCATTATGGAGCTGTCATCAAAATCCAAATCATGTGTCAAATTAAATTTTAATCACTGTTACCTTTATCTGAATTGTCATAATCTGTTGTTTTTTTTTCATTTTCATGTTTTACATCTTTCTCCTACTGAATAAAAAAATATATACCTCACACAGATTATCCCGTATTTACGTTCATCCAAAGAATTTCTCAATCATTTATTCTCATCATTAGATTCATGCTCTGTAGCTGATCTGATTATACAATTATGTCAACAAGAAACCAAACAACAACATATTATATTTGATGTAAGTGTGCAATTCTATTCTAAATTGGATATTTATTATTGTCTCTTGTCATGTCAATTATCTCATTGTAATTAGAGTATACACAATGGCTGTAAAATGTGGCCAATGTCTAAGTTTTGACTATCATGGAAACGAATACTTGAATGGTTCATTACACACACAGTCGGTCAGTCAGTCAGTCAGTCAGTCATTAACAGCGTAGAACTTCGTACGTACATACCATATTAGCACACAAAGAGGGATGGAATTGTCAATTCAAATCTCATAGTGGTAGAGCTAGTAGAAGTATAAGCAGTAATAGGAAAGATCAGGAGTGTAATCTGGCAAAAAAAATTCAAGAAGAGAAAAATGAAGGTCATGAGGAATTTAGACGATAAGAATTTGAAAGAACCCAAAGAATGGATGCATCTTCGCCATTGCAAACGGTTTTGAGCCATGACAGTCAACGTCTCCAACGATCGGTTACTATCGTCTCGCGGACTTCAACCTTTAAACATAGCTCAGTCCAAGTGTCAGTGAGTTCGTAGATTTCTGTGATATTTTGGTTTTGGCGCTCTTAAATTTCTTCCAACCTACTCCTAGACCACAAAACATCGCTCTTCAAGGCAGTCAGTGGTTGGGCATACGCGTAGCACATATCTCCAACACAACGAATCACCACAACTAGAATAATATATTTTATTTTAATTTTATTATTAATCTAGACATTGTCTTTTGAATCTAGAACTCTTGTTTTGTTCTATCGAGTACTTGTTAGCTTGATCTACCAACAATCAATCAATCAGTCAGCAGCAACGTAGATGTCTTAGAAGCATTGCTCGTTTATCTTGGGACAACCGTATAAGCAATGCTGTCGTTAGGAAACGAGTATTAGGTAGGAATGGTAAATCAATAGATGAAGTAGTGAAACTTCATCAGTAGTCGGAGAGGTTATGATTAGAAGATATTATTCAAGAAGTCGATTCTAGTGAAATAAACTTAAAAAGAAAAAGATAAAAGTGATGAGGAATTCAAATGGTTAGGATTTGAGAGAACACAAAGAATGAATGCATCTGCACCATTGCAAATGCTTTTGAGCCATATGATTCAAGGTCTCTAACCATCGATTTTTCATCATCTCGCGGACCCCAACCAAATAGTCGACTTAATCTACCGAAGCAAAGTCCGAATATGAATGTCTATGATGGGAATTAAACTCTTTAACCTTTTAGCAGATGGTGTTATGGAATGTATTACTGATTTTTGAAAATCATTCCCCATAGGCATTACAGTCCCTTTTTTTCTCTTTTGAATTTAAAACCATCTCTAAATCTTTTATCTGGCGTACAATGCTACTGTTAATCTACTTGTATTGTCACTGCATCACGTGTCATTATGTAGTTAGTTAATAGGTAGTTTGGTAGTTTGATACTCTACTTTTATCGTGTAAAACATTTTACTTTAAAGCATACGTTAGTTCATCGATTTCTAAGTTAGATTGTTTGTTTGTACAAGTCACCAGTTGTAGTACAATCTTGCTAACCTAAACCGAAGTTAAGCATTTCATGGTTTCAAACTAGAATGAACTGATTTGAAAACCCGCTTCTTTAAAAAAAATAATTTACCTTTTTCAACTAGTCTTCTTTCTAACAAATTGATTTTAAATCGGCTATCGGATTGAGTTGAAGTGACGTGGACTGGATGTAGCAGGGGGCACAGCTACTCTGGTTAGTTGACAGATACAATACACAACGTCAGATTGACTTGATCCACCATAGTCGTGCCACGATGCAGCTTGGTATCCATCAAAATCTTCATTAATTCAGCTAGCTGCTGCTCGGGTAATAATTCAAGTCTCGAAGGACCAATGTGATCCCATCCCCATCGCCAAAATTGTTATGCCTGCACGTACACACGTCATTTTGATATGCTTGAACGATTACGGGTTTACCTAGTCGGAAACACGAGGGCGAGGATCGCGGACCCGGCGACACAACATGCTACTCTAATCCGTTTATCCCAACCCCCATATTGAGTCAAAAATAAGACAAGACTTAAATGTGAAGTAGAGCCTGTATTCTACAAGCATCCAGAAAGTACGAGGTCCGAGTCCAGAAGAGAATCTGGATCCCAGACTAGGAATCCGGGACCGGGTCCTGGTCGTGGTCATAAAACGTTACAGATAATGCTTATTCATACATTTCGGTCGAATACGAAACATCAACGAAGTCTGTGACATTGATAGTCAAGACAACCAATAAAAAAACAACATTGGAGCACGTGACATTGATATCTAGGACGACCATAAAATTTGACCAGTAGGAATTAACCAGTAGGAATTGTCCAATAATTCTCTTAGGATATTGGATGAATATCCTAACAGGTAGCTATGTAGTAGTAGGTCTCATTCAAATCCATTTGATTCATTCATTGTGAATGTCTTCCAGTTAATACAATTTGTTTTTCTCTCCGTTTGTTTTTTTGTACGTTTCAGTGGTTTAAAAGTGATCGACTTATTGAACGTCTTATTGAAAAATTTGATCCAACTTTTTCGTTTGAAGTAAGAGGAGACCATTTTGTTGTTGTTGTTGTTGTTGTTGTTTGTTGTCAGTAATCTTTTCGTTACATCATCATTTTTGTTGTTGTTGAAGTACAAGCTGTCCGTGTGTAGACAGTAACTACCGAAGACTGTATATGAGGTTGCGCAACTCCGTGAATTTGATCAAGTTAGACATTAACACCGTTAGATACCGGCTCAGTGGTCTATCGGTTAGGGCGTTCGCGCACAATACCGAAGGTCCTGGGTTCGAATCCTGCGGGGTGCAGGAGTCGTGGATGCGCACTGCTGAGGAGTCCCATACCAGGACGAAACGGCCGTCCAGTGCTTCCAGGTTTCTAATGGTGGTCTAACATTGATCGATTCATGGTTTCGAAAAAAATCTCGACAATCTTCACAACCCCGTAATGTTATTATTTAAGTAGTGGCAGTAGTACTTGTACGCTCTCGTAACCCTGAATGCACGAAACTCACCACCCTTCCCCCACCCAGGAAATCGGCTACTTAAGCAATAAGGAGGAAACGGTAGCAGGGAACGAATCGTCTGTGAATGCGTTTATTGACCAATGATATGCATTCGTCCTTTAGGACATTTTTGATGGTCATCATGTGACCTTCCCGTTTGGCCACCTGTGATTGGTTCTCTGTGTTTTTGTCATAACAGATGATGATAACCAGCCAGTCAGTCAGCGCTATTTTACTTGCAGACATCAACAAAACTCCAATGAAGGAGGATAAGTAAATTAACTTCATTACAGCGTGTGATTTATTCGTCAACACTTGACAGTTATGGTTCATACATATTGGGTAGGGAAAATTAAATGTGTGTGGTCAGCTTGATTGCTTGTTTGACTATTTGTTAATTATCCTTTGTCTGAATAAATAACCAATGACAATATTCCTTTGGTTATACAACACAAATGAATGGGAATAATAAGCTGTTGTTAGTACTTCTAACTGTTCTCGGCCGTTAGTTTAAGGCATCAACTGTAGGAATTTCGCCTGAAAATGTGTTGACACATGAAATGGTAAATTACATCATTGCCGGGAGATGAGATTAATATTAATCAATGACAAAATTAGGGTTCGAAGATGTTAGTCAAGAAGTATAATTCAGTGAAATAAATGTAAAAAGAGGAAGATAGAGATGATAAGTAATTCAAAAGACTAGAATTTAAGAAATCACAAAGAGGTGGATTCACCTGAGCCATTACAAATGATTTTGAGCTATGTCATTCAAGGTCTGTAATCATCATATGGCTCATTCCACTTGTCAATAACTTCATGAATTTGTGTCATGTATTGGTTTTGGCCACCCCTAGCTTTCTTCCAACCCACTCCTACAGCACAAAACACCACTGGTCATGGCAGTCAGTGGTTGGACAAACGTAGCACGTGTCCCAATCATCTCAACTAATGAAGATTCACTACGTGATTGATTGATTTTCTATCCTCACCCTGGTACTCGTTTCCTAACAACTACAGTGCTTACTCAACTGTACCAGGATAGATTGGATAATAAGCAATATTCATGATTGTGACCGATTCTGTGCCATTCTATCTAATGTCTTCAACCATTGCTCGTGTTTATCAACTTCACTGCAGAGTTACTAATAATGTTACTGATAACAACATTGCTTATCAATAAGCTGGATTACTACGACGAATGTTTCATTTGGTGGTGGTTACCTCAATATCTAACATCAAAATATATCGGATTATCAAATTGTAGCTCATTTTGTAACAAAACATTTAAAATACACACGCACACGCACGCATTATAAACAAAATATAACCATAAAACATAAACAATTTAACAACATATGACGTTATCTTCATTAAAATCACGAATTAATCAATATTTGACGATCATTAGAAGCTTAGAGGTATTGGATAGCTGTTTCGTATAGGAGGGCTCCTCATCACTGTCTCCACAAATCGATAAGTGGGAATCTATCAAATGACTCTATTGAAACTCGACCATTCCTACAACCCTATACTGGTAATTATCATGTGCCTACTCGTGATAACTAGGCTTTCAGAAGCTATGATCAGTGGAGAGTTAAACCGTTTCAGGTCTTTGTTTCGAATACTACTTGCAGGATCACGGATAGACACTGTTAATTAGTTCCATATTAGGTAGAAATGGTTGTCTGGTGCTTCCAGGTTTCTTATGATGGTGGCCTAAGATTGATTGATCCATGGTTTAGATGAAACTCATTAATCTTCAAAACCTTTATACTGACAACACAACTTTAATACAACTGGTTATTGTCTATGTATGTGTAAAACCACTACTTATGTAGTGATATAAGTAAAAATAATCGCTTAAAGTCAACTAGTAGTTGTTATGACTTACCTATTCTCACCAACCAACTTACTTACAATAGTAGCAGAGGTAAATAGTGGCTAGTGGTGGATTCCAGGACGTGCGATTCGAAATGTTTGGGACACGTTCCTAGCTGGATTTACCTACCACATCTTACAGTTGGAATTCAAACCCTTATTATCTTTCCATCAGCTATTCACATTTTCGGTAATCCAAGTAGGTTATTGACTGTCATCTCTCACTTCTTGTCTCGTCTTCAATCCCTTCTGACCGCACTATGTGACGCTTTTCTCTATGGTACTAACTCCTAGGCAATACGCTGCAGTATAGTAGTTTCAAACCATTCACCACAGGCTCATTTTATGACGGTTGTAAGGTGTTTCCTTCGGACACCCAGCATCTGCAGCGATTCTCCCTTCTCACAAGGAACAGGGGTGTAAAAAAGATCGGCTTTACAAATATCATACTTCACGTTACCCCATGAATTTTCGTCGGCAGTAAGGCATTTATAGAGGCAGAGATAACACTATGAAAATTCACACAAAGGCTGTGTGTGACAAGCCTCAAACAGTTGTCACTTTGGCTCTCAGGTCTCCGAGACCAACACTAATCCACCTTTCTTGTCATGTTCTACAAGAAACACCCTTCCACGGTGTGAGCACCCGGAAAGTGATGCCCTCGTACTCGTTAGAGCACACGAGGCCAAACTAATCATTTTGTACATTTTCTGATAATCATCAAATGGCTTTCTCATTTGGCCAATCCTTGATATTGGCTTGGTATATGAATATCAGATTTCTTTCTGTTTATACAACAACCATTCAGGTCACAAAACTACCTTTAAATCATGAATGAATCATTGTTAAACCACTATAAGAATCCTAGAAGCACTGAAAGATAGCCATCTCGTCCTGGTATTAGACTATACATCAACAGTGCTCATTCATGACTCTTGCTACTGGCAGGATTCGAACGTTCGACGTTCGATATTGGACCATTGAGCCGGCTACCAATTGTATTGATGTCACTAACTCTTATCACTTTATTTCACCAGTGAATTTGTCAGTTCTTTCTTGAAATTCTCATCATCATAATTATTTTCTTATTTTTAGATGCATGAATCAGCAGCTCATTGTCTTATTGAACTAATCAATGTTCTACGTAGTTATCTAGTGAATAATGCTCCAAATTTAGAAAGCAGTAGTGATATGTTAGTGGATTCAACAACAACGATAACATCTATAACTACTGATAATAGTATAAGTAGTTTGCCTGGTTCACCATTAAACAACATTCAATGTGTCAACAGTTCATCATTGACCAATGATGATGCAATAACATATAAATCAGCGGAGAATTTTTTAAATATTTTAGAAAGGTAAATTAAATGTATTTTATTTTATAACAATATGGAATTCGTTGTTTATACAGTGAAATCATGACTGAAGAATCATTGTTAGACCATCGCATTAGAAAGCTAGAAGCACTGGATGGCTGTTTCGTCTTGATATGGCACTCGTCAACAATGCGCATCTGCGAACTCTTACCTCCAGAAGTTAAGTGTTTGCTTTCCTGCAGGTACCAGTAGCCGTTGAATAATGCGCACTGTTGATGAGCTAGTTCCATACAAAGGCGAAACAGCCAATTAGAGGATGTACTGTTTACTTTTTCATGGAGTGGCTGTTGTTTATGAAACCCTGTTGTTTGGTACAAAAGATCCACTTATGACAGCTACGAAATGCTTATTCTAAACCTATGGTGCACACCCCAACCACCGACTGCCTTGACGAGCTATGTTTTTTAGTGTAGGGGTAGGTTGAAAGAAAGTTAAGGGCGGCCAGACCAAACTATGGCACAAATTTATGAAGTCATTGATAAGTGGACTGAGCTATATTGGTAGGTATCGACAACTCGGTTGAGGTCCGCGAGATGATAGTAATCGAGGGTTAGAGACCCTGAATGACATGACTCAAAATCGTTTGGAAAGGCGCAGGTGAATCCATTCTTTTTGTTATCTCAAATCTTAATCTTCTGGATTCCTCATCACGCTTATCTTTCTCTTTTTAAATTTGTTTCACTGAATTATACACCTTGAATAATATCTTCGAACCATAATCTACATTACCTCCAATACTAACATACATTTCGTCCTATCTAGGACTGACTCATTAGCTTCATGTATCTGTTATCTGAACTCCGGAGCTAAGTGACTAACGCGATGGTGTCTGAAGCAGATGGCCATGTTTCGCATTCGTATAGTAGGATAGAGCGAACTGCTGCGCAGTACACTCGTCCTTTGGTTAACAAGTGGATATCTCACCAAAGGACGAGTGTACTGCGCAGCACTTCGCTCTGTCCTACTATAAGGATGCGAGACTTGGCCGTTAAGAGTAGAGGACTTCCGTAGGTTACTAGTCATCGATCATAGGTGTATCCGAAGCATTGCTCGTGTATTCTGGGACGACCGAGTAAGCAATGCTCTCGTTAGGAAATGAGTTCTAGGTAAGGATGGCAAATAAATAGATGAAGTAATGAAACTTCATCAGTTGAGGTGGTTGGGACATGTGTTACGTATACCTAACCCCTGACTGCCTCGACGAGCTATATTTTGTAGTGTAGGAGTAGGTCAGAAGAAAGTTAGGGGCGGCCAGACCAAAACATAGCAGAAATCCATGAAGTTACCGACAAGTGGGCTGACTCATGTTGGTAGATGTAGACTTCCTGGTTGGGGTGCGCGAGACGATAGTCACCGATGGTTGGAGACCTTGAACGACATGACTCAGAATCGTTTGTAGTGGCGCAGGTGCATCCACTCTTTATGTGCCTTTTAATTCTAACCTCCTGAATTCCTCATAATCTCTATCTTTCTCCTTTTAAATTTATCTCACTGAATTATACTTCTCGAATCATATCTTCGCTCCCTAATCTTCTCCATTACTGCTAATAATTCTACTATCTCTATCACTCTTGGATTCGAACTGACAGTTACGTCTCTGTGCTGATGTGATATGGCAACCTGAACTGATGTACTTAAGTACGAAGTTCTGCGTTGTATTTATCTGTGTATCTGTCTGAACGGTGTTGGGTTCGAATCCCGGCGCGAACCTCAACTTTGACACATTGCAAATCAGTCCATCCTGCTACAGACGAAATTCCAAAGTGATGAAAATGCGCATCCTGTTCATTATCTATCTCTTCTTATACACAAATACAAAAGTTTTACTAGTCTAGAATTTCATCGACATTAATCATCTGTCTATGTTTACATTTTATCCAATCACAATAATATTATGTCTATGACTGATTATTTGTCATTTTTTAGAAAAAATCGAAACATATTGCATAGATTATTTACAATCAAATTAACCTTCAGGGAAAATGGTTGTATTATCATTTTCATATATATTTTGGTTGGAATTACTATTTTTGTAATATTTTTTTGTTGAAAAAACGTGTGTGTGTGTGTACATCAGCTGATCCAATCAATGAATTGTCAAATGATGACGTAGTTTGATGCAGTACATGTAAGTATATCTGTGTGTGCACATGTTGAACCTGATGAATACAATTGGTTGATCAGCTGATTTTTTCAGATAGATTTGCACAGATCTTGCAGTAAGCTCAGCCAATTTCGATTCCAGACACACACACACTTTACACACTTACATTTGGTTAAGCTGACGTATAAGAGTGTATACACACGATGAAATACTGTTTTCTAGAAAATATGTAATAATAATAAGTATCATTCTCCTTAGGTTGATGCGACAACATAAGTTTTGTTGAATATCAGAGGTATTAATAGTGTAGTGTAGTTTATGGTTGTCAGTACTTGTTCTTTTTCTGTCTTCTTGTGATCAGAATTGACTATCAATCAAATCAGTGGAGAAAGTAGATTTGTACGTAGGTTATATGATCATCATAAGTTGTACAACTGGTCTGGTTTTCTTTTTATATTTAAAAAAACGGAATATTTCAATTTTTATATTATATAAACTTTCGCATAGTTTTCATTTCGTTAGTGGAACATTGAATGACTCAGTCAGCAAAAAATGTTGACTTTCAGTCATTGAATCACAAGTTTGACCTTCTCTGCCTCCTCCGCACCAGACACATATGTCATCGCTAATTGTCACACTTTGAGAGTGGCTTTTGAAGCCGAATACACATTTATGTATTTGGTAAACGTAGTTCGCCCCTACTGTAGAAGCTACATTGATGTGGTGGTTTGGTTTGCCTATCGTGATGAACCCAACCGAGCTATATTGGCTAGAACATACGTTCCTGTAGGTTCTATCATGCCGGGCAGGTCGATGAGACTAAAAGCAGCTACTCAAGATCTAAGGTTGAAGTTGTACTCCTGACTTTACAGAGGCAGAAATGTGACAGCAGTAAGATGTTTCACTCAAACAGCTAGTAGTTGCAACGACGCTATCTCTTCACAATGAAGGAAGTGGTTAGAAAAGGTTTACCCTAAGCATATCACACCTCACGGATTTTCGTCTTCGTCGGTAAAGCCTTTTGAAGAGTGGAGCTAACGCTTTTCAAACTTCCCATACAAATGTCGTGCGTGACCGGCCTCAAGCAGTTGTTCCTTGAGTCTCGCGGTGTCACCACAGTTTCGTTTAGACCAACGTTAATCCTAATAACCCATAGACAAAACATTTTATCTATGGTGCAGATAGTGATAAACGGTGGAATTCAAGATGACTGGTTTGGTCCTATTTTTAAATCGTCTGTAGCTGGATCGATTTATCTGCTATATCTCAGAGTTAAGGTTCGCTGTCGGGACTGGAACCTAGTACCGTTCACTTTATATTCCATTATATGATCTACTTAGCTGCTAAGTTTCGATAATCACTGGTTTGTGCAACTTAACAATGATTCATTCATTTTTATTGTCTGTTTGATGTTTCGCATTGTATCAATGCACCCCTAAGCCTAACTATGCACACATGCCAAAAAGAGACTGACTGATTCTGGCCCAGACATTAATGTGAGGATTCAAATAACCAATCGATCGGTCAGTCAGTCAGTCAGTAACAACGTAAAACTTTATACGCACGTAGGTACGTACATCAGTTCAAGTTGCCATACTAAATTAGCGCAGACATGCGATTGTCGATTACAATCCCATAGTGGTACAGCTAGTAGAAGTATAATCCGGTGATATAAATTTGAGTAGAGAAAGATGAATGTCATAAGGAATTCAGCTTGAAATTGTAACGATTTTGAGCCATGTACGGAATTCTACGTCGTAATTGATTGACTGACTGACTGATTTTGAGCCATATCATTCAAAGTCTCTAACTATCGGTTACTGTCATCTAGCGGACCCCAACCTGTTAGTCTACATTACTCAGTCCAGCTGTCACTGAATTCATGGATTTGTTCCATGTTTTCGTTTAACCGCCACTGGTTTCCAGCCTACTACTAAATCACAAAACATCACTTGTCGGGGCAGTCGGTGGTTGCGCGTACCTAGCACATGTTCGAACCATCCCAACTGATGAAGATTCAGTAATACAACAGTTGATTTGCCATCCTTGGCTAGTATACTTTTCATAGCAATAGCATTGCCTACTCGCTGGTCCGATGATATACGAGCAATGCTTCGACGACATCTATAATCGAAAACCAGTAACCTATGTATATCGTCTACTCTTACTGGCCATGTTTCAAAGCAATAAAGTAGTATGGTCGGAGCGAATTCCTGCACTAAATAACCAATAGAAATAAACACAAATCCACCTACACTATCACGTGTTGTTGCTTACGTTTTTTTCATAGTTGACTCACACATTTGACTTGTAACAGTTTGTGAAACTTTGCTAATGGAGCGTGTTGTGATTGACTAACGATCACCACTACAGACCAGTTACATTCCCATATTTACTGGCGATTTCTTGATATCGAAAGAATATCAAAATCGTTCCAGGAATGAGGGTCGAAATTACAGAGACGATGAAGCCAAAATGGCAGCAACACAGATGGAACGTTTGCGTGTACAAAGTGTGATAAACAAAGAGGTTCAGTAAAACAATCACCAGTACAATTGGTTATAATAATGTATGTTTCTATTAAACCAATCGTGTTCCGTTCATAAATGCCGAGTCCGTGCACTTTCCACTGTCTGTCTGTCATCTGCTCTCTGTTTATATTTTACAAACATGTGAATTTATGTCACAAGGAAAGGGGATCAGACAAAATAATCTTTGAAATTGGTTTTTCCTCTCTCCCTATATATGTCTCAGTCTCCTAAATTCTACACGCACATACAGACACACTTCTTAAATTGTGCACTGCTATCGATCACTTTATCAAGGTTGTCTAATTTTAATTGTGATTTTTCACCAAATCAAACAAATAATCACATCA